CTTCCCTTCAAGCCTTCCCTTCAGCACTGGTCTGTCCCTGCCCTCTGGCAGTGGGAAGCCATTCCCTGTGTCCTGTCACTCCATGACTTGTACCAAGATCCTCTGCAGCTCTCCTGCCGTTTAGGTACTGGAAGGCAGAGTAGAGGTTTGGGAAGTCAAAGGAAGTGATAGTGTAGTCTCTGCTGCAGGTCTCCAGTCTCTGGTCACACTGTCCCTGTCCCCATTGCCCCCCAGTCATAGTGTCCCTGTGCCCCCTGTCTGTCCCTGGCCACACTGTCCCCCCCTTGTCCCTGTCCTCCCTGTTCCTGGTCACACTGTCCTTGTCCCCTGCCTGGTCCCCCCCTTGTTCCTGGTCGCACGGTCCTTGTCCCCCTCGCTGTCCCCGCGGTCACTCTGTGCCTGTTCCCCCTGCCCCCCCAGTCCTGGCCCGGGCCGAGCCGCTGGTTCCCCCTAGCGGCCGTGCCGGGCTGTGCTCCCCGCGCCCTCTGCCCAGGGCTCCGAACTCCCTCCCAGCCACAGCATCCCCCCTAAAACAACATCTCCAGGAGCAGTCCCCATCGCAGAGCACCTTCCCCCAGCAGGGCAGAGCTGACACCCCAGGGCTGCTCCTGTAGGCACTGCCAGGTCATGGTGGCCACATGACCATCATGGTCCTCAAGCTTCTCATCCTCCTCCAGACAGTGCTCAGCGCCTCTTTTCTTTGGCACATGGAGTTCAGGCTTCCATGTGGTGCATAGGGAAGGTGCTCCAGTGCTCTGATCAGCTTTGTGGTCTCCTCTGGACTTGCTCCCACAGTTCCATGTCCTCCTGCTGTTGGGGACACTGGAGCTGTGTGCAGCACTCCAGGGAGGGCCTCACCAGAGCCAGCTGGAAGAGCCCAAACCAATTCTTTGGCCATGGGGAAGCCATTGAGGACATTCTCTTTGTCTCCTGTTGCATCCTTGGCCTTGTACAACATTCTTGTACCATCAAACCTAAGAGATTTCCCTGCCTTTGCAGAAGAAGTTAGAAAACCTGAAGAGTCTAGACCTGTTCAACTGCGAGGTAACCAACTTGAATGACTACAGAGAAAATGTGTTCAAGCTCCTCCCACAACTCACATACCTCGATGGATATGATCGGGACGACAAGGAGGCACCAGACTCCGACGCTGAGGGCTACGTGGAGGGCTTGGATGATGATGAGGAGGATGAGGATGGTATGTGAGTTGTGCTGCTTGGGGTGTGCTAGGTGGAAGATGGATGTGGGACTTGTTAGCTGGACAAGGGGGTCCTCAGCACTGGGATGTTGCCCAGGGAAGTGGTGGAGTTACCAGCCCTGGAGGTGTTTAAGAGGTGTCTGGATCTGGTGCTGAAGGATACAATTTAGGGGTCAGAGCAGTGACAGGTTAATGGTTGGACTTGGTGATTTTGAAGGTCTTCTCCAACCTTGATGATTCTATGTGTTGAAGTCTTTGCTGATGTTTCCTTGGGTTTTCTTGTATGGGGATGGGATTTTCCCTCAGTGAATTGGCCCCAGTGGAGGTAACCACCACCCAGACCAGATCCATTTGGATGCACACTCCATCCCTGTTCCCAGAGGGATCTATCAAAGTCTCTTCTGGTCTTGCCTGGGTTTTTTTTTTGTGTGGGGGTGGGATTTGCCCACTGTTAGGGTGTTCAGGCACTGGAATATTGCTCAGAGAGGTGGTGGAGTCACCATCCCTGGGAGTGTTTAAGAGGCATCTGGATCTGGTGCTGGAAGATGCATAGAATCAGAGAGTCATCAAGATTGGAAGAGACTTTGAAGATGACCAAGTCCTACTTTAACCTGTCATTGCTGTAACCCCTAAACTCAAAGATAAGGGTTAAGGTTTAGGGGCTAGTGAGAGGTTAAGGGTTGGACTTGATGGTCTTCAAGGTCTCTCCCAACCTTGATGACTCTCACTGTGTGTAAGTTGAGGTCCACATGTTGCCCAGTACATTTTGCTTCCAGCTCTGACTTGTTGGCAAGAGAAGGGTGTTCTCAGCAGCTCCTTCCTGGCTGATGAAAAGGAGAAGTACTTCAGTGTCCTCATGGAACAAGGGCAGAGGAGATGGGCAGGGCCTGAAAGAGCTCCTTTCTCAGTCTTATCCCTAGTGAAAGATCGGGATGACAAGGAGGCACCAGACTCCGACGCCGAGGGCTACGTGGAGGGCTTGGACGATGAGGAGGAGGATGAGGATGGTATGTGAGTTGTGCTGTTTGGTATAAGTTGAAAGATGAATGTGTGATGTGGGATTCGTGGCCTGGAGAAGGAGCTCTGCAGCTTCTGCATCTCAGTGTTCTCTGGAGGAATGAGAGGAGAGGAGGTGAGGGTGAGGGTGGCGAGACACACATTGCCCAGGAAGGCTGTGATCCATTCCAACCCCTTAACATACTATGATACTATGAGGTGGGCACAGCCTGAAAGAGCCAATTCCTCAGTCTGTTCTCTAGTGAAGGATGGGGAGAGAGAGGGGTGATGAAACACAACACCGCAGGGGAAAGGACCATTTCCTCAGTGTGATCTCTAGTGAAAGGTGGAGCAAGAAAGGGATCAGGAGGAAGCACTGGAGGAGTTGAAGGAACACACCCAGGGGAAAGAGCCAATTGCTTAGTTTGAAGTCTAATGAAAGGTTGGGAGTGAAGGGGTGGGAGAAGAAGAGGACCTTCTTTCCCCTTAAGGGTGGGTCTCACAAGGAGGAAGCACTGGAAGAATTCAGGGAACACAACACCCCAAGGGCAAAGGGCCAATTCCTCAGTCTGATCTCTAGTGAAAGGTAGAGAAAGAAGGGGATCCAGAAGAAGCACTGAAGGAGCTGAAGGAACACAATACCCCAGGGGACAAGGATGTAAGACACAAATGGGTAAGAAGGGATGACATGCAGATGCTGATGGAGAAGGGTAGGGTGAGAACCAGACTGGGCATGGAAAATTGCAGCTGAGTCAAGGAGTGAACAGGCACTTTTAGCTGCTCCTTGAGAATGAGCCAGAGGTGAGGCAGAGGAGGGGAGAGGTGTGGATTGAAGGTGCCTGGGGCAAAGAACTGCTGAAGGAACAACCTTTAATGCTAGGGAAGTGCACAGAAGGTCCCACAGTGCCATAGGTGCCACATGCCCCTGGAACACTGTGCTGGGATGAGGATCCAGCTGAGCTTGGGGAATTTGCTGGACTGTCCAAAGCCAACTGCACAGCAAAAGCAGAATAGCTGGAGCTGCACTTTTCCCTCCAGTGCTGAGTGAGAGCTCTGGAGAGGCTGAGCAGTGCCTGGCAGCACCTCGCAACTCCAACACAAACACAGGGAGAAGCTCCTAAACCCCATTCCTGGAGCATGGAAAACACTTTGTGCCTGAACAGTTCCTGGTTTGCTGTTCGGGGTCGGTGTAGGTGATCTCTCTCCCTTTGGAAAGACATTGTGACCCTCTCAGTAGATGCTGTGAGACCCTTTTGTGTCACTGAGGTGGTGCTCCCTTGGGGATGGCTGCCAGCACGTGGTGATGAAGTTCTCCATCCTGCTGGGAGCAGCTGGACACTGGAAGATCCACAAGTGTCCTACAGGCTCCAAAATGCACAGCTCAGGGGTGGTTGCTACCACACAGTCATGTCCCACCCATGTGGTCCTTCCTGGCAGCTGCAGAGCTTCCTCAGATCCTGTCCTGTCCCTAAGCAATGCTCCCAACTTGCTCCTCGTGTCCCCAGGAGGACAGGTTTCAGGCAGCAATGCCATAAACCAAGTCAGCTTTCCATCTCTGAGGCATTAATTCTCTTTGTGTAGAAGAGGAATACGATGATGATGCTCAGGTAGTAGAAGATGAAGAAGATGAGGAGGAAGAGGAGGAAGGAGAAGAGGAGGATGTGAGTGGAGAAGAGGAGGTAAGGATTGATGGTGTGGAGTTAATGTGGAGTGAACATGGTTTAACTGGAAAGAGCTGGGCTAAAAATAGTCCAAATTTGGCAGTTCTTAGCCATGGAAGTGTATGGGTTTGCTTCAGAAGCCAAAGGAGAAGGTGGCTGAGCTCCCTGTGAGCCGCATGCCATCTAGTGACCACACAGCTGGGCTGACAGCAGACCCCCTCAGAAGTGGCTGCTGATCTGCTCTGACACCTGGGAAGGGCTGAGGTTACTCATCTGTGCACAGAGGTCCCAGGGTCACCCACCCTGTGCCAGGCTCCTCCTGGTGCTGAGCCAGGCACAGGCTGGGAACCTTTCCAGTAGGAGAACATCTGGGATGGAGCTAAAACTGGGCTGGAGGAGGAGGTTCATATTCCCTGTCCTAAACCCTCCCTGAGTGCTTTGTCAGCTTCTGGAACCAGCAGCAGCTCCTCACGCTTACATGGACACAGAGATGTCCATGAACTCCCTCTCTTCCTCTTCTCCTGGTCACCTCTCAAGCTGGACTAAACTCAGCATATGGCAACAAACTTTGCAGCTCCAGAACAGTGGGAGAAGTGAGGCTGGGATTGCTTGGGATTTGGGGCACTGGAATTCTGCCAGAGGCCAATGATTCCTTACCAAACCTAGTCTGGAAGTGTTTGGGAATGAGATGCTCCAAGGGCTTTCTATCCATTGTAAATTTGGTGTTGCCAAAGATGCTCCAAGGACTTTGTGTCTGTTGTAAGATGCTGTCAGATATAGGCAAAGATACTCCATGGATTTTCTGCCTGTTCGAAGATGCTGTTGGATGTTGTCACAAGTTTTAACCCTTTGTTTGGTGTGATTTGAATGCAGGAGGATGAGGAAGGCTACAACGATGGGGAGGTAGATGATGATGAAGATGAAGAAGAGCCTGGTATGGTCCTATCCTGCTTTGCTTACAGAGAAACTAGTGATAAGTCATGAGGAAATCATAAGGGATAAAAATGAAGGATAAATAGTGATGAATTAAGGATGAATTTAAGGATTGATTGAAGGGATAGAAGTTGTTCAGGAGGTGACATGGAATTGTGGAAGGCAGGAGTGCATGGAGCTGCTCAGCAGCACAAGGATCTCTGCAATTTAGGCTTTATTTACAGTTAGATTTATAGGTACAGGTCTTAATAGGGATTTTATATACTATAAATTGTTACTTATAGTGCATATAATTTATTTTGTTTATATTGCAGATTATTTAGATTACATATTTATATTACATATTACGTTACATATTATTTATAGTACATATTTATAGTATATATTAGAATTATATTATTATTTATGTATCATTATAGTTTTAAAATATTTTCTAGTTGTTACATAATACTTAGTATTTCTAGAAGTTACCTGTTACCTGTAAATATGATATTTATGTGTCAATAGATAGAAATAGATGTTTAGCTAAAAGTAAAATGGAATTATCTATAATATGTGATAGATAAGAATATTGGTGTACACATA